TATATATAAAACCTAAGTAATACTAATTAGAAAAAAATAAATTAGAAAACTATTATCTTTAAATTGAAAAAAACTAGAAAATCATAATAATAATAGAAAAATAGAAATATAAATAAATAAAATTAACTAAAACAAATATCTATTTTCCTAAAATAAAGATTATTCATATATTTTTATTTGTACTGGATGAAACTTGTCCTTGAGTTTAGATCTTAGTAAAAACTATCCTAATCACAAAAATTCTTCTTTATGGGAATCACTTCATCTTGAATTACGTCTAGTTTTGTTTTTTTTTATTTTTTTAATCTATAATTATTTAACGTTATATAATAACCAACCATTATAAATATATGAATTTTAATATCAATTAATGTAAATGTAAGTAAAAAATAATAATGTTTGTTATACGTTAAAACTTTGAAATACCAAGAAATTAGCACTACAAGGGAGACACTCAAAATATTTATCTTTTATTTATTCATATCTCACATGCCAAAAGATTATTATAACCTTTTTATATAAAAAAACTGGAAATCATTAGTAATACTGAATAAAAAAATAAAATGAGAAAATCATGTGCTTCAAATAGAAAAACAAAAGACTGTAGAATAGAAAAATATTTATCCTAAAAAAAATATCTTAAAAAAATTATTTTCTAACAAAAAAAATTCTTGCATCAAAGCGTGACACTTAAAATATGATCGGACGGTGACCGTGTTTGTTGGCCATGGTGACAACGCAGAGGTGTTAACATATCATAGCGTTGAATGGGACATCCATCAACAAAAATTTATTTCAATCTTTTAAAATTATCTATCGAAAGAAAATAAATATAACAATTCAAGCAAATACCAATATTTTATTTTCATTTTCATTTTTTTTTTGGCAGAAAGGGACACGAAGGATAAAGATGAGTCATCAAAACGAGAAGAAATCTCAATAAGATTTTCATTTTCATTCTTGATTGATCCACCATTAATGCGAGGGCATAAGAATTGACATGGTTCATTCTAACAACAAATTAGCATGATCAATCAAGAAATTAAATGTTAATCGAGACACTTCACCAATCGATTGAACGTGATGGGCCCACACTTGATCTTGATGCAGGATTCGTTGACTGCTTATCATAATAAAATACTCGAACTTTTCTGTGACGCTGCTGGGCAGCGGATGATCCCCAGAGAGTCAGACCGGCACCAGTGAGATATGGTAAGCGTGCAGGTAGACTTTGCTTTGTTGTTATCATTAATTTCTGGTCCCGAAGGAGACTTTTATTGATTTTGAGGGGCTAAAACACAGGTCGAGCTCTCGAGTTGGTGATGATAGTCATTGATCATGGCCGTTGGCACGTCCATTCTGGGATATGTGTGGGAGCCACCTGATGATCAAATCATTCGCTTGGAATTCAAGGTTAAAGGCGTGATGGAGGTAGAAAGATGTATCATTCTTCTAATATTGTACGTGGGGTCCCATACTTGATTCTTTCTTCACAGCTCACCCCGTCTTCCTCCGCCATACCTTCCCTGTAATCTTTGCAGTTATCTATAATTGCCGCTACACGTCTCACCAACTTCAAGAGTTAATTTGGACCCCGTAAATTTTCTCTTGAATAGATTTAGGCACACTTGTTCGTTTATATCATGATCGTTAATTGTATTTAATGTATAATTAAGAAACTTTAATCTTCATAGGGTATATTAATTTCCATGCATGCATTAAACTGTTCTATATAGGGCAAGAGATTATTCATCGGATAATCCCTAAACAGAATCTTGAGTGCGAGTTGTCTCTCAACATGAAATTATCATCCTAAATGGGTGAGTGACGTTTCCAACCAGTAGAGTATATTGAGCTCGCCGGTGGAAATTTGAGTTTTCAGTTACCCTGGACGGCGACTGTGAAGGTCTAGCTAGCAGCTAGAGGGTTTAGGCAGAGATAGAAGCAAGAACCAGAGGCCGTCGCCTACCTGTCTTTCCTGCCAAGGACATTGAATGATATTAATCAAAGTGGGCACAGGTAAAGCAGGCATGAGATTTAAGAGGTGGGTGTTAAATTAATTAGAGGGTGCTGGGGCTTTGTCAAGAGGGTTAAGCAGGAATAATCAAGGATGGCAATTATTTCGATGGAACGTCTTCTCCTCTACAAATTGCTTTCTGGTTAAGACATGAACATCCTCTTGAAAATCATAATGCCATGGCCAAACATCCCAGCTAATTTTGCCAAATTACGTAAAACATATGTATCTTTATTAGTTCTGGGAGAGAAAAAATGGAATTTTCTGTTTACATTAACAGAGTTGAGACATGGCCCTTCCATCGATGTAACATTCGAAATGTTTCCGTCGCTATTTCAAGCGAAGCCAGCACGTTAATTCACAGAGCTGCCTCTCAACAGAGTGATGCTGTGTTGTTTCTAAATATATTAACATGGGAGACATGTTCGTACTAGGCCGTGAAGGATAGGATTCTAATTTTAAACAGATGGGTTATTCTCTGTGAAAGATCAAGGTGGCTGCTCAAGAGAGAGACAGAAAAAACAAAGCCATCTGCCAGCAGGGTTCGCAATGGTTATTATAATTTTTTTAATTTAATTTTGTTTTTCAAAAGGCTTTTGTTTTTTCCTCTTAGAAATATATTTAAAAAAAAATACTTTTTTTAATTTATAATTATATTAATATATTCTCAAATAAAAAACACCTTAAAACAACAATAATTACTATAACATTACATAGACTCTAAATAAATTTCACATTGTAAAAAACTTATGGAGAAAACTTATAAAGATTTTTTATTTATAAGTATGGTTGTGATTATTTTTTAAAGTGTTTTTTATTTAAAAATATATTAAAAATATTTTTTTTATTTTTTAAAAATATTTTTTAACATCAGCATATCAAAATATATAAAAATATTAAAAAATATCAATTTAAAATAAAAAATTATTTAAAAAAAACATTTTTTAAATACAAAAGTAAACATAAACATGTGCTTGTAAAAGAATTCACCAACCTCGAATATATCCTTGTACAGATGCAAGCAACCTAGAATATGCTCAGAACCATCCTTTATTTTTGTTACCAGTTAAGTCTTTGTTGTCAATTTCTTTTAATTTAATAAAATTGTTGAAGGATCGTGACAGCTTGCCTTTGCGGCAAAGTTGCTAACCTTGGTTTTTAATGGGTGGATCGGTTGGTACTCTTCTGCAGACTTTGTTCTAAAAATTAAATAATAGGCGTGACCAATGATTGATTTCCTGGAGTGGTTAAATTGCACTGAATTCGTCCTCTTCCACAAACAAATAAAAAATTATTCGTTTCTCATATAGTACTAAATTATTTATTCACCAACTCCGACATGAAATAAAAAATCGAAGACATGTGTATGAGATTGAGGATGGTGGGCATGATAGATTCCACGTACGTTGCTCAATGTTCTATCGAGAAAAGGGAGCGCCCAGTTTGGCATTATTTTTTAAACGGAAACATTTGTATTGGAGCATTCTTGGTAACAAAAAGGACCTGGCATCATCCTTAATAATTCGAAATCAACGGTGAGAATTAAAAATATTAAACAAGTAAAAAGATAATTCTTGGACCATGTGCCAATTGTTAGAGGCTTGGTCCGATTAGCAAGTGGATTTGCTTTCCACTTTATCACACGTAATCAAATTCAAAACCAAAAAAAAAAAAACTATAAAATTATAATATTTTATAAATGTACTAATGATTGAATCATGATTTTTCTTTTATTTTTAACAAAATTCATGACATCTACGTAGATAGATATGTCAAGAAATAATCTTGATTCGATTTAAAAATTTAAATTGTAAAGTGGTGTTTTTAACATATTTTTCAAGTAAAAGCTTTATAAATTTAAAATTTATTAGAAATTATAATATTTTATATTTAATTTTATTAGCTGGGATATCAAATTGAAATTTATGAACAACAAAAAATAAAGCTAGTAAATTCTAGAACTAGAGTTTAAACGCTTGATAAAATATAGATCGATGTTAATAAAATTTTATGTCATCCTCACCTTTCCCCAACTTATCATTAATAGTCTGTTTAGAATTCCAAGCCCATCATTGGCAACTAAACAAGAGGGTTGTGCAAAAAAAAAATGGTGTGCTTACTATAAAATACAAAGTAATGAAGCTAAGAGTATGAAAGATTCGTAGAGATGTGATGATGATAAAAAAAAAAAAAGCAAAAACAAAAAGGATCAACAAAAAAAAGTTTTCTATTAAGAGATGTATGATAATGATAGAAAGAAAATGAAAAAAAAAAGTTAAGAAAATAAAATAAATAAAAATTTAAAAAACCTAATGATTGAACGAGTAATAAAGCAAAAAATATTAAAGAATTCGGTGTAAGAAATTCGCTTTCTTGATATTATGTTAAAAAAAATTATTGTAATATTATTTTGTTGTAAGACTGAATATTTGGATATCCTATAATGCTAAAAATATTGTATTATTTAGGTACATAGAATATCCTCATGATAAAAATGAGAAAGAGAAGCATAACTTAAAATATAAATATAAAGAATAAAAAATAAAAAATAAAATCACTAAACTTGATTCAATAAGTGTTAATTTAACATGTTTTTGGTTACAGGTGATATTATTATTTTCATATAACTATATATTAAATATAAACAAAATTTTAATTTATTTTTAATATTTATAAAATATTAAATTAATAAATCTAAATATTAACTTATAAATCATGCTATTAATAATAATAATAATTATTATTATTATTATTATTATTGTGATAAAATTCACTTTCTATGATTTGGAAAACTTATCATATAAGGGTACACAAAGAGATATTTTGTAAAAAATGCAAGTACTCCTGTCACTACTCTAAATGGATTGATCCAATCTTGGGAGTAAAATCCCGGAAATAGAAAAAATAAAAGTTGAGATCCTGAAACATAAGAAAACTACAGTTAGAAGCCCTAGATTAACAGCGTTCTCAATTTCAAAATTCAAATCGTGAAGCGAGTAACGGCGTGTAATGTGATGACAGAGGGAACACCGACGAGATGCCCTTAGAAACAAGAGTATAAAATAAACCAGTAACAGAAACAAACACGCAGCTCCACAACGCAAGCAGAAAGCGAAGAACTAATAGCCAAAACAACAACAACGAACACACAGGGAAGAAGCCTTGGTGTTGTTTCCATATTCTTCCTTAACGGATCGGGCTCAAAACCGTGAGTTATTTACGAAACTTGCCACTTTCTGATCCAATCTCTCACTCAGGATCCGTTTCTCTCCCCCCCCCCCCCCCCCCCCCCTCGCTCCCTCTCTCTCTTAATTGCATGCATGTAATGCAGGTTCTAATTCATTATTGGATTTTTGCTTCTTCGATCTTCTCGGTGTCGTTTTGCTTCCTCCTTTAGTTCTTGTCATCTCTTCGATCTATCTTTGATTTAGTTTTGTTTTTTTGGATTTTTACCGGAGAATCTTACCTTTTCTTTTCTTTTTAGTTTGCAAAACAAATCTGATTCTATGTTTGTTTGGTTACTGAGAAAATGCAGCAAAGGAAACTGACAAAAAATTAAAGCTTCATTGTTCTAAGTACAGTGGAGTTATTCCTAGAGAGTGGAAGAGATAATGTCTAGTTGTTTTCTTATAGTGGTAATTTTTGTGTTTCCTTGAGATTTACGTGATGCTTATTGTCTATTAAGCCTCCTTGTTTTCCCATCCCTCCAAAATGAGTGCTATTGCTGTTATATTTACCATTTTCCATTTTTAACGGAATAATTTGCTCAGCTAAAAAGAAAATTGCTTAATTGGAAAATGGATTTAATTCTTTTTTGAATCTGCTTACCTGAGTTTATTGTCATAATTACGGATTGGGCATACCCATTTTGTTAACTTCTTATTCTCTGATTGGAGGGGACTGAAGCGGATGTAGCAAAGTTTTTCCTTCGACACAGAAATGGATGAAAATATGAGTGTTAATGTGATTTTGATTCTTGTGTTTCTTGATCCAGTGAAATGGGCATAGAAGTTACTGACGACTGCATGGACAAGGAGCCAAATTGTGTCATCGTTTATTCAAATGGTGTCTCCTACGATCCAACTCATGAAACTGTTCCTGACGACCATGGTGTTCTGGAATCCTATGAACCTATCAATGGTGTTCCAGAGCTCCATAGCTCAGAGGAGAGTACTGAAGCGAAGGAATATGTGGTGAAGGAATGTACCACTGAAGTCTCAGTTGAGGTTACTGAGCTTTCCCATGCTGAAAAAAGCAAGGAAGACCAGACTGTAGTATGCTCAAATTTTGAGGATGGCTTGAAAGTGGAAAAGGTCAAAGCACTAAACCGAAAATCTAAGGATATCAGTCAGAAAAAATCGTCTACAAAGCGTGCATCAAAACCTGCTCCTGCTGGACATGCTCGAACAAAACATACTGTTCCGCAGCCATTTGCCCTAGCAACTGAAAAGCGTGCTTCACTGGGAATGCGTCCTTCTGGCGAGCCTGATATCACCAATGGTGTAAGCAACTCATTCAAGGCAAACAATGTGCTACGTCCAAACCCTATAAAGCAGAACCAGGTATCTGCTGCAACCAGGCATAAGTATTTAATAATTGTTAATTTAGCCATGTGTCTGTTCTACAACAACAGCAACAACAACAATAATAATATTGTTTCAGCAAGTGAAGTTGAGCTTTGATATATTGGGAAATCATGTTTTAATTTAATCAAGTGGTTGGAAAACTGTACTCCTAGTTAATCCTGGAACTCTTGTTTGCTTAACTGCAGCCACTTTCTGTGTCAAGGAAGCCATTGCAACCAAATAATAAGAAGCATCCAGATGAGGAAGATAATTGTTCTGTCACTTCCTCGTATCCTCTTTCTAACAGATTAAGTTTGAACCAATTTTCTTATGTGCATTTCTTAAACTTCTGTCACCTCTGTAGCTCGATTTCATTTTTATATTTCATAGCTTGACTCTTCATAGCACCACAGCATCTGCACGGCCTGCTAAGTCCAAGCCAATTGCTGTGGCAGTCCCTGTATTTAGATGCAATGAACGTGCTGAAAAGCGGAAGGAGGTACTGCCTTTATCTCTTTGTTTCATTCAGAGTTGAAGTTCTGTTTTCTTTCTTTTTTTAATGCAAGTTCTTCGGTTGAAACATACCTGAAGGTGAAGACTCAATGGTTTTATTATGTTTAAATCTTTTAGTTCTATTCAAAATTAGAGGAAAAGCATCTAGCATTGGAGGCTGAGAAAACCCAAAGTGAAGCAAGGACCAAGGTAAAGTATTTCAAGAAGCTTGATAGCAAAGTGTTGTTAAAGTCTTTCTCACACATCAACTTTATCTGTTGACATTTCATCATCAAAGCAAATGATCCTGATATATTTCTTTATTTGTTGTCATTCAATAACAAATTTCAAGGAAGAGAAGGAGGCAGCCATCAAGCAACTGAGGAAGAGTTTGATGTTTAAGGCTAGCCCAATGCCAAGTTTCTACCATGAAGGACCACCGCCTAAGGTTGAACTAAAAAAGGTACCGCAGGCAGATTCATTCCCCTTTCCTGCTATTGTTGTAAAGATTTACAGTACAGGTTTCCTGGGATGTTATTTTTCAACTACTTAAATCATCAAAATACTTGGCAGAGGTTGATGACAGAAGATTATGCACGGAAGCCAGTTTCCTAGGATAACAAATTTATTATGATTAGAAACTTGACTAATCTGCTTTCATCTGAATGTCAGCTGCCACCAACACGTGCAAAATCACCAAAATTGGGCCGAAGGAAGAGCTGCAGTAATGGAGTGAATTCATCTCAGCCAGACAGAGTGAAAGGAGCTTGTGGTGATGGAAATAACCAAAGTCAGGGTATTTTCAGAGAAGATGCCAGCAACCCTGTTTCTCAGCACAGTATCCCAAAAGGCCATGTCATTTGCAAATTTGAAGATGAAACTAGGCAAATGGAAGGGATAGATGAGTTGATTCCACTTGAGGTAAGTGGACAGAGTTTTGCAGGCATTGGTCTTAAGTCTTAATATGGTGGTGAGTTCTTAATTCTTAATTTACGAGAAGACAAAATGTCCCCATTTTTCTCCTTCTGCGACTGCTTGAAGAATGTGAATGTTGTTCCCTTTTAAGTTGCAAGGACTTGTTGCGGTGTTTATGTAATGTATCAAGTGTAAATTTCCTGTAACTTATGCTATCTATGTAAAGCATTCCCTTTTTTCTGTAAACGGCTTGCATTTTGCACTTTTGTTGGGTAATCTTCACTGCTGGGGATCTATTTTGCTTTCTTTCTGTTTGAAGCACATGATTAGGAAACTGTGAAACAAGTTGCTGGTATTCCAGTTTTTTTATCCCTGTTTTAATCGAATCTTTTTATATTAATCTGACAATTGGGTTGTTAAAAGAAGAAGAAGAAGAACAGTGGACGTTGTAGAAAAACAGGAAATCTGAGGAACTATACGTGGTGGGTACTGATTTTCATATAAAAATAAAAGTGAATCGATTGCATTCAGTGAAGATTGTGTACTTAGGGGTGAATTTGTATGATGATGTGAGTGATGTTTTCTTAAATAATCCCGATTGATTTCTTGGGTTGGGTGTTTTTGGTAATCAAGCAAGAGATATATTCGAAACACAAGCATTAGTAGCGGTTGCATGTGAGTTATAAGCTAAAAATGACTATCATCACAATTTTATAAATTGATTCTTAATTATTGACTCAAATAATGGTTATAAATAGCATTTGATTTAAATAATGAAACTTATTATAAAATTGAGTCAAAATATTCAACCAAAAGTTGGAATTTTTACCTGGGTTATGCTATATTTTTTCTTAAAAAGGATTTGCTTTAAGCTATATTTTTTTTACCTGGGTTAGCCATTTTAATTCTTTTTTTTTACAAGTTATTTATAGAATATATATTTTTTAATTATGATCTAAAATAAATAAAAAAACATAATAGGAAATGACAGGGTATAATACAAAATCAAAACAATCAAGTCCTATTAGAGGTGAGCAAAAAAATCAAAAAAGAATAACAAAAAATCGAACTGTAAAAAAAATCGATTAAATCCATTAAAATTTTAAAAAAACCGATCGGTTCAGCTCGGTTTTATAAGCCTGAAACCCAAAAAACTGAACTGAACTGAACCCAAACTAAAAAAATCAAGTCAAATCGAAAAAAATTAAACCAAAACCGAGCAAAATAAAAAATTAAGCCAAATCAGGAAAAATCAATTCAAACCGGTTTGAACTGATTTTTGTTCAAAAAACTAAATCGAACCAAAACCATTCAGTTTGAACCAGTTTTGGTTTGATTTTTATTTTTTAAAATTTTAGTTTGATTATTTTTTGATAAAAATAAATTGAACCGAAAATAATCACTTCTAGATCCTATAAATCCAAATAATAGCTTTTATTCGATAATACTATGATACAAACATGTTGAAAAAATTTTAATTTTGTTATTTAAAATTATATATTTTTAATTTTTAATTGTTTTGATATACAAATATATATTTTTAAAATTTTTAAAATATTATTTTAAAATAAAAATATTTTAAAAATAATCATTAACATATTAACAAAATTCTTCAAAAAAAAAAATAAAAAAAAATCCAATGAGCCGAACTGTCCAGCCTCTCAGTAAAGAATAAGCCATGAGGATATTAATCTCAATTCAGTCCGAAATGAAATTCTCGAATGGGGATCCCATTTATCCCCGGTTTCCATTTTGGGTTGTTAAAATTATTTATCTATTTTTTATTTTTTTATGGGTTTTTTAAAATATAAAATAACATATCCTAAAGTTGCCAGAAAATTGAAAAAGGGAACGCATCTGCTTCCTCCTTATCTTTCCTTCATTACTACTGGATAGACAGCAGAGACAGAGGTTTCGATGGAGAGAATGCGAACATAAACAAATTTAACAATCTTATAAAGGAAGTTTGAGGGATCAGGCCTCACCTAATAATACTTATTAAGGTGAGTTAAAAAATCTTACATTTTCTCTCAATCTCTGCTTTGAGTTTCATAAACAATCTTGATTCGAACCAGTTTATGACCTGTCTTAGATTAAGCCTGAATTGGGGCTGTCGCTAAGTCCATCTTTTTTAAAGAATTTGTTTGTTTGTCTGTATAAGGGAATGGATTTTTCTCTTGAATTTTGAGAATAGATTGGATGAATAAATGAACCAAACTCTCTATAGTAAGGGAATGGCTCAAATGCTTTTGTTTTTTTTGAACTTTTAGTTATCTCTTCCTGTAGTGTTTGTTACTGTGCAATTTCATTTTCTTTGCAATATAGCTTTGTTCAGATGTTTTAGCTGACAACGCAGGTGAAAGGGTGAAGACATGAATGCATTCAATGCTTTGAAAGCCCAAGTTTTACATATAACCTTGGTGAGGGGCATTCCAGGAACTAGGAGACTTCACAGGCGTGCCTTAGAGGCATCAACTCTTGGAAAGTGCATCCACACTTTCATGCACAGTCAGGGATGATCCAGCAGGTATAGTATCAAGTCGCAATGATTCATAGAATTTAGTTTATTCTAAGGAAAAGATTTGTTCAAATATTTGCAATTTCTTCTGCTTTTAGGGCATTGTGTTCTAATACATTATTTAATTTTCCATCAGGTGAAGAGGTTAGTTGTGGTTGAGATGGAAGAGACGTACAAGGCCCATAAACAAAAATGTGTTAAACCACCAGGCTGTTCTTGCCGCATTGGTCGTGGACCACTTGCCTGCCTCTGCAAGCGCTTCCTCTTAGAGCTGGCGTTCTTCTAATGCAAATCTTTTGAGGTCAGCTCTGTTTCTTAAAATTTGCATTTGTTGCTCAAGCTATCTGTTTTCAAGCAGTGAATTTACAAGAAGTATAGTTGATTTCGTAAACTGGAATTGCAGCTTTCCTTGGCCTGTCTAGTGGGGCAGCGGATTATATATCTCTTTTATGTGGCGTTTACCAAGGAACAAGAATTTCCAACGCAGCAATGTCATTCGCATTTTTTGGAGCTTTGTAACTTGACAGTTGGTTTTGAATGCTTTAATCAGACATTGATGCCCAGTCTTAATTTGGCTGTGAAATCTTAATTTACAAGAGGAAAATCGTCTCAATTTCTCTCGTTTTTGGTGACTGCTCTGAAGAATGTGAATGTCATCCCCTTTATAAATTGCAAGGGCTTGTTGCAATGTTTATTTAATACATGAAGGGTAAATTTTCTGCAACTTATGATTTCTATATAAACCATTCCCATTTTTCTTCAAACAACTTGGTCTTTAACTTTCTGTTTAGAACATAGGGAAAGTGTGGCACATGCTGCTGGTCTTCCAGTATTGGATTCTCATTTTACATGCTTCAATTATCTGATTTTACTATTCTATTAATCTGAGAATTGAAAAAAAAATTTGAAATTGTGCATCTGATAGAAAAATTGGAAAGCTATGTAGTGTGGGACTGAGACTTGCAATGTTAATATGCAGTGGTTTGAATATAATGAATTTGTGTGTACGTAATGGTCTGTTGTTGGATTGTGTTCTTGAATGGTTTGTCACACACGCACAAAGAGGATGTAAAGTTAAGGAGGCAAGTAAGGGGGTCCCCTAATGCTGGGATGTGCTTTGTTAGAGTGGAAATTTGTGCTTTTGTTAAATCTTTGTTTTGCATTATTATAATAAGCGTCATCATGAAAAGCTCTTAAAAGGAAAAGGAAAAAAGATGCCCATGGAGCGTAAAGCACCTCGTGTTTAAGTGTTTTTGGTAACCAAACAGCAAAAGGAGACCTTTTTGTGGTGAAAAAAAAGTTGCTGGTCAAAAGGACTTGCATTAAAATTGGGTCTGCTTTCAGCTCTTGAATTCCAGTGCATCTGTCAATTTTCTGTCCCAGGTATTGTTGCATCAAGAGAGTTTCTGGTTTTTCTGCATCCGCAAGCTAGGCTACTCAATAAATGAGAATTCACAAATCTGAGAGCTCAAATAATGTTGTTTTGATTCATCAGATTTTTGTGGTAGATGCTGGAATTAGGTCATTCTTATAGTTGACGTTCTTGTGCACTTGTGTTCGTAATACATATTCTCTGTTGTTTGTAATGCTCTTGTTGTAGGGTTATCTCTTCTACCTGGTAGCTTTGATAATGAAAACTTCATATACATATAAACCATCTCTATAAGGTTAGGTAAGACCCATACCTTATACCGGAATCGTTTTACTTCCAACTTCAGTTCTTTTTGGCATGTCAAACCGAAATATAGTTTAATGTGTAAAATATTGCTAGAGAAAAAAAAGAGTCCAATTATGCCGAAAATATAGTTAATTAAAGGTAAAATAAAAATTAATATGGTTTTTAATTAATAATATAATTCTTTTGTCTTGGTAATGAATGCTAGGAATGGGGTGTTTGAGAGGGAGTTTCAACATGTTTCATGTCAAAATTTGTTTTTTTTTTCAAAATTAATATTTTTTAGTATTTTTGAATTGTTTTGACATGATAATATCAAAAAAAAAAATTAAAAATAAAAAAAAAATTATTTTAATATTTTCCTATATAAAAAAACATTTTAAAAAGTAACCATTATTATTTTAAACCCTGGGACTTGTGGCCGTTGGAACATAATGGTTTCAGAAGTAAATTGCTAGTATTTTCTCAATTTGTTCTTGGGAGAACTAAGAAGTGGGTATTATTATGCAGCAGTATTGCAATCTGACACTCCTTTTTTTGTTTTTTGAGATTTCACCGATGGAGTATTGTTAGATGAGAAGGCAATTACTACTTCAATATCATACGATCTTTCATGCACCTGATATGGTATTTGATCCCAACTATGCATTCTGCAGTCCAGCTTCAGTGCCCTCCAAGGCCTAAGCAGAGGACTCCTGAGCTGTTTTTCAGAGCAATGCCATGTATCTTTAATGTCATTTTCACATTCTTTTTTCTTCTGTAACAGCTACCAAGCCAGTTGATTGTTTATTGATTTTTAGTAAGAGATGGATTATTAGGATTTTGAAAAATTGCAAGTAGTTGATTAACTTTCACAAACATGGTAGGAGTCAAGCTATACAGTGTGCATCACTTCATGAACTCCTTTTCCCCCTGCTTTTTTTTTTTTTTTTTTGGTTGTTCCCATGCCCACTCCTCCGCTCCTCTTTATGGCCCTGTTCAAAGCTTTAACAGGCCAACCTGTATTTCTTTCCATTTAAGCTTGGAATCGAACTGTGTATGGCAAACAGTGATGAAGCTTCTCTCACCTCCTATCTTCCCCTTTCCTCCAGTGGGAAACCAAAAGAAATATCCTTTAAACACCTTGTCAAGATCATCATGCATCAACAAGTCCCGAATTTATTTATTTTTTGTTCATTTCATTTTTAAGTGCTCCAAGACGAATATCAAGTAGTTCCTTCCTTGAGCAATGATTAATAACGGCGATTTTTAATAGATTTCTTTTATTAACAAACGAGCATTCGACGCCTTGTATCTCCCCATTGGATAATTTGCATATAATTAGAAGTCTTATTATTAAGAGATGAGAAAGTTTAGAATAATATAATTTGTATTTTGAGATTTTATCTAATAATTTATATTATTTCTCAATACTGTTTCTAAAATAAGGTATTTTAAGCTTGAAATTTATATGAATCTACTTGGTGAAATTTGAATAATGATAATACAATGATACCATGTCACAAGCCAATTCAACCCAATAGACCGGCGGGTGGGAGATAGCTTTTGGTATGCTTTCTGTCATTAGATGGATACCGACGCTAGAAACTGACAAAAAGCTCTGTTTTGACCTCAATTTTGTACTAAACCCAGCAACGGGAGCCCTGTTATCATTATCAATCATTGACGAGTAGCCTCCATTTTCTCTACCAAACTACTTGTTTTTATTAGTAGTTCTCAATCCTTGACATATACACTCGAAATCCCTGTACTAAATTACAATATACACTCGAAATCCCTGTACTAAATCCCTATACTGATTTACAAAGGGGCTTGTTTGGGTGTGATGCAAGAACATGGCTGAAATGTTAAAAGCTGTACAGTTCAATCCCTGGACCCTATAGGCAGTGAGGATTACAATTTGCGTGCAAGAAGCGAAGTGAATATTTGGGCACTCAAAGCAAACAAAGCAAAAGTTGCTTCTCCAGCACTGTGTGAAAAGCATGATTAGGAGGGGGGTTCTGTAGAAATTGGGATTCCATGTCGATATATGACCCACAAAAAGATGTAGTCTAGCTACCTCATCCTCTGTTCTCACGTATATAAGGGCCCATGAGTGCATGGCCAAATGTCAAACAGTCTCCTCTCTTTGATTGCTACACAGTTGAGGGGGATGCTGTCTGATTCGAGACCATTCACTTTAAGCACACATTCATCTTTCGAATGATCTCGGACCAGGCTTCATTCCCCCCAACTCAAAATCACGCGCTAATTAACCCTCAATCTCCCAACTTTAACCAATGGTTCGGTGTCCGAGCCGGCTCCACTGCAGTTCTCTCTCTCACAAGATTTGGCAATCTTGCATTATGTTTAGCATTTCAGTTTATGTCTCTTTTTCATTGTATTTGCAGCTCGCAAGAAAACCTTGGTGAAGATCAAGAAAGCACGTGCATACATGAACAAAAAGATGCTTATTAAGGGAACGGATGTGATCAGCAGG